GACCGCAGCCGAAACGTCAGTGAACGTGCACTGGGATGGGGCACAGCCGTGAAAGATAGAGACTGCCGGCGCACCGCTCGACTGAGCGATAGTGCGCTGGCGAGTCTCGATCTCAGTGAGGGTGTCGACAAAGGCGGTCAGGGTGAGGTCACCCGGGTGCTGGCTAAGAAAGTGGTCGCGAGCACTAGCGAGGCGGTCTGGCAGGCGCATAGCGATAAAATAGAGCGTCATGCAGAAAGGAGGGGGGAGCGCAGTGAGCTGGGCAGCAGTGCTGGCAGTGCGATAGCGAGTCTCTAGGGCACGCAAATGAGTGGCAAAGTCTGCGACAGTAGGGAAGGCAGCCAGGTCTGGGAACAGCATCGGAAAGAGCAAGCGGCCAGCAGAAGCGGAGGCAGGGGTGGAATAGCGAGCAATAACGGCGTCTAAATAAGCTTTGGCCGTTTCAACAGTAGCAAAACGCGAGCGCTCAGACACAGGGAGGGCGTGACTAATAGCAACCTGAGCTACTGCATCGCGTGAGTCCCAGACCGCACAGGCCAGCGCAGCAGTAGAGAAAGCCTCACGGTCATCAGAGGAGGGGTCAGCAGGGAGGGGAGTAGGTGCAGGGGGACGGGGGAGCAAGCCATCAGCATGGACAACCAGAGAGTGGCCATCCTGGCGCTGACCTGTAAGCTGGCGGCGAAGATCGGAGAGCCAGGCGGCGAAGTCAACCGCGTGGCCCTCAGCGTCCAGGCGGAGCACAAAGTCAGCCATCGTGCAGGGTCAGCGGCACAGCTCCTCAGCGACACAGCGGCACAGCAGCACAGCTCCTCAGCGGCACAGGAGCACAGCGGCGCGGGGACACGGCGGCAGCACTCTCCAGTAGGGCAGCAGCTAGGCGTCCCAGCGCAGGCAAGCAGAAGACACAGGGCCCGAGAGGACACGGCAGGCCGAGCAGGGGAGGCGGGCAGGTGCTCTAGGGCCGGGCTGGTGCTGGGAGGGGCCAGGCTGGTGCTGCTGGGGCCGGTCGGGCACGAGGAGGGGCCGGGCAGCGCTGAGGAGAGGCCGGGCGGCGCTAGGAAGGGGCCGGGCGGCACTAGGAGGAGGCCGGGCGGCACTAGGAGGAGGCCGAGCGGCACTAGGAGGAGGCCAGGCGGGCGAGCGCTAACAGCAGGCGCGACAGGGGCCGGCGGGCGCGACGGGGCCCAGCGGGCACGACGGGGCCCAGGGGGGGCGCGACGGGGCCGAGGAGGCGCGACGGGGACCAGCGGGCACGACGGGGCCCAGGGGGGCCGCGACGGGGCCTAACGGGCGCGACGGGGCCCAGGGGGGGCGCGACGGGGCCTAGGAAGCGCGAAGGGGCCCAGCGGGCGCGACGGGGCCTAGGAGGGGCGCGACGGGGCCGAACGGGCGCGACGGGGCCCAGAGGGGGGGGACGCGACGGGGCTTAGGAGGCGCGACGGTGCCTAGGAGGCACGACGGGGCTCAGCGGGCTCGACGGGGCCCATGGGGGGCGCGACGGGGCCTAGGAGGCGCAACGGGGCCCAGCGGGGGCGCGTTAGGGCCTAGGGGTCGCGACGGGACCCAGCGGGCGCGACGGGGCCCAGGGGGAGCGCGACGGGGCCTAGGAGGCGCGACGGGGCCCAGCGGGCATGACGGGGCCCAGGGGGGGCGCGACGGGGCCTAACGAGCGCGACGGGGCCCAGGGGGGGCGCGACGGGGCCTAGGGGGCGCGACGGGGCCTAGGAGGCGCGACGGGCGGAAGCGGTAGGCGGGGGGATCCTAACCTAAGCGTGATACCATGTTAACGTAGAAACGAATGATTACTAGAGGTGGAAACCTAGAACAAATACTAGTTGGTTGTACTCACTAGAAGCATACCTCAGTCTAGCCTATAACTTCTACATAGATAATATGTATATGTTGACACAAACCCCTTCTTGTACTCCTCTCTCTTCCTAATCAAACACTCTTTCTTCTCGACATTCTCTCCCTTACTAGATCCGTTTTCCTCACGCCATTCCATGGCGGCCTTCTTCCTAGTATTCTAGCCAACCTAGCCTCCTAAGTTTAAGAACCTTGAGTCCTAAGTTTCTAAGAAAGGGGTGAGTGTCCCTGTGGGGTTGCCTAGAGAGTTCCCTATTCAAGGCTGGCTTGGGCCTTCTGTATATCGATTGATTGCCTGCCTGACGTGCGAGCACCATGCACTGGAATGGGTGGTCTTACAGAAATACCAGGTTATAGTTCTAGCTCTTAGAAACTTAGGACTCAAGGTTCTTAAACTTAGGAGGCTAGGTTGGCTAGAATACTAGGAAGAAGGCCGCCATGGAATGGCGTGAGGAAAACGGATCTAGTAAGGGAAAGAATGTCGAGAAGAAAGAGTGTTTGATTAGGAAGAGAGAGGAGTACAAGAAGGGGTTTGTACCCTCTACAGAAAGGTTCAGTAACAACCTACCAAGCCTATATTAAATTATAACTTATAATATTTTAACACACCCCCTAGGCTTGGTAGTGTCAAGCCCTCGCACAACCCCACCCCCACACCCACACCCCCTAGCCCAGCACCCCCATTCCCAGCAGGAGCCGCAACGACTCCGGAAGAGTGTAGGTCTCATGGCCCCTTGAGACGGCAATGGCGGCAGCAGCGACAATGACGACAGCGGCGGCGGCGGCGGTGTGCGGCGGCTCCAGGCCTGCGGCAACAGCGGTGGCGCCGGTGGCTCGAACGACAGAGGCTGGTGCGGCGGCCCCCGCCCTCTCGGCGGCATGTCCTGTCTCCGCGGCGGTGGAGAGGTCCCTCATAAGGCAGTCATCGGCTGCAGCAAGAAAGGGGGGGGATGCAGGGGAAGCAGGTGCAGGTGGGGGGGGGAGGGGAGGGGGCGGGGCGAGGCGAGTCTTCAGCGACGCGCCATAAGTGGCGCGGCGCTTACTGGCGGGAGGACGGCGTCCAGAGGGACGCCCGTGGCTGGCGAGCGGGCGGCAGGTCCGGCTGCGTCACAGACGTCGCTCGGCCGGCCGCAGTCCGACGATGCCAGCGGCTGCCCTAGACGCCGCCACATCGCACCGTCAATGCCGCAGCGGCGAGGCGGACGGGCGACGGCTGCACCAAGGGGCCGTCGCGACACCTTGGCGCCGCGACGGCAGGCAACAATGAGCCGCCGCGACATCTTGGTGCCGCGACGGCAGGCAACAAGGGGCCGTCGCGACAGCTTGGTGCCGCGACGGCAGGCAACAAGGGGCCGTTGCGACAGCTTGGTGCCGCGACGGCAGGCAGGCAGAAAACCGCGAAGGCTGTGAATGCAGCAGGAGTACGCAACGGGAACGTAGGGAGAGGGTCCGGTGGACACGACCGGCTCTGATACCATCTTAGAAACTTAGGACTCAAGGTTCTTAAACTTAGGAGGCTAGGTTGGCTAGAATACTAGGAAGAAGGCCGCCATGGAATGGCGTGAGGAAAACAGATCTAGTAAGGGAGAGAATGTCGAGAAGAAAGAGTGTTTGATTAGGAAGAGAGAGGAGTACAAGAAGGGGTTTGTACCATCTACAGAAAGGTTCAGTAACAACCTACCAAGCCTATATTAAATTATAACTTATATAATTTTAACACTAGCAAGGCTCAATCATGCTGTTATAGGTGTTGGGCCTTATTGCCCGTAAGCATTGTTGTGTAGTTGTAATTCCGGATATGTATTGTATTGTTTAACGATTGTGCGTCGCTAAGGACGACTGATATTTTTTTTTGCGAAATGCAGCATTTCCTCTAAGTGTTTGCCTGACCTTGCGCGTAGCAGCTACCTGCAGCGCGGCAGATGCAGCAATGCAACCCTCAGTCAGTTGTCGTGACTTGGTGAATCGCGAGTCCCGCGCGACCCCCACATCACCGCCACCACTACACGTGACGTCCGCAAAATGCCCAGCCCAATTCTGTTTCAAGGTGCTCAACACCGATCTATAATTCCATCCACATTCATCCAGCGTGATTCGTGAACAAGGTGTTCTAAAGCTGGGCACCCTTTGTACACTTAGCCCGCCCAGCGTCAGCAGAAGTTTTGTTACTACCCTGACCATTTCTGAGTGCGAAGACATCACTCCCTTGTTCCTACGGCCTAAGCCCCCCCCAAAAAAAAAAAACGGCCTAAGCGCGGCAGACTCCACATGGGCAAAAACTTTTAGCATTGCCTAAGCTGACGTCAAGTTTCCTGACTCGAGAAACACTAAATCGAGCGGTAGACGTTTTATGTAGAACTTGAAGAGACATTTGTTTTCCAAGAGTATCCGGATTTGGTCTTCATGAGCTGCTTTCGGGGGGTGAATACCCTCTCGGCGGTACCCCCTGTGAAAATACTGGGTATTAACTTACCGCGGGCTAAGTGTACCTGCCACCGTTCACAAGCAAAGCAGGGGCTAGCCGTCCACACAAGTCGCTAAGGACGGGCAGCCGATACAGCATCCATCCATGGCTCTGGCTGACAGGGCTGTTTCCGACCTGATTCCGTTTCTTTGCATAGTAAAAGTTTTTCTAATTCCGTCTGCCTAACGGATTACTTTTCGTGTGATTCATTTACATTGCGGTTACTTTCTTTGATTTCATACGAAGTGCAGTTGCAGTGGGAGATCTGTTCGTCGTGGTGTATCACCCCTTCCCGCCTTCCCCTCTACTTTTCTCAACTTCCTCCACTTAGCAAAGCGCGAGGCTAGTTGCCGGGAGTTTTTCTACTCTTCCAACTGCCTCAGGCGTAGTATCCGCGAGGAACAGTCCCTGGGGTCTCGATGGCTTTTCCTTAGCCGTGTCCAAGGCCATTTGCCTTCAAGGATGTTACTACACTTAGTATCAAACCAAGTGGAGCTTTTCGACGAATTTGTATGCTAACGGGTATTGCCGGGGCCGATTCCGTGACCAGACGGAATACCCTAGGCTTAGCGAGAGCCCTGCATCCATCCTCTCCTCTCCACTCCCATTGTCCGCCCTGCATCCATCCTCTCCTCTTACACTGGTGCTTTTAGTGAAAAGGGTGTGTGCGTTACGAAGATAGTGCTCATTTCAGGGCATGCTCGCCTGTGCCTCGCCTACCAATGGCTGCTCGCCCGTCACGAGCGCGCCTGTTTCATTTCCTCTTTCTGTCAGCCCTACTCTCTCCCCTGTACGCTCCTTCTCAAGCATATTTCTTTCGTCCCGTGGTAGCTGTTGACAGCGATATTCCTCGCCAGTCCGATGGCGTTGCCACTACCGCTTCGAAACGCGCTTTCGCCGCGAACCTTACTCCCCGAAGACACCTGGCCGCCTCACCACCCATCCCCGCTGGCCGCCCTGCCATTCCTTCTGCCGAGCCTAGCTCCGCGTGGAAGCGCGCGATGGCGGCGCTGAAGCCCGCCATGTTCGCCGCGGTGGCCGCCATGTCCGTCGGCGCGGAGAGCGACGTGCCCACTGCTGCGCTCCGGCCGCTGCTGGCGCCCGGCGTGGTGGCCACGGCCAAGGTCCGACTGCTCGGTGCGGCGGATCTGAAAGAAGGGATTGACTGGGAAGGGCTGAAATGTAGCGCGGAAGGCACGCTGACGCCGCCCTATTCCTCGGCCGTAGCGCTGCTGTACCTGCGGCTCGAGCAGGGCGACTTGTCCGCGCCTCTGACGTCGCGCACGTGGCCGTTCGCCGACTCGGCGCAGGGCGCGCCGGTGTACGCCACGGCCCTCACGTTCCTGTCGCCCGTCGTGTCCTTCCGCATCTACCCCAGCGCCCCCGTGGGCCCAGCGGCGCAGCAGCAAGAGTTGAGTCTGCTGAATTTGGAAAGGGGGTTCGGCGCTATTCAAGTATCGTTCAACGTGTCGAATGCCCTGCTTGCTCGGCCACGCAGATGCACTCTGATCGACCTCCAGGGGGGTGTGGACCAGCAGACGATGTCGGCTACAGGCGCAGCTGTCCTAGAGCAGTGCTATAAGCCGAGCACTTTCAACAGCACCTATTTCTTCGCGCTCACAGAGCCCGTGGACGTCAAATACCAGGTGAAGCTTCCGCCGCCCCCTCCGCCATCCCCTCCGCCTCCGCCCAGCCCCCCGTCCCCACCCCCGCCTCCCCTGGCTCCCCCTCCCCCCCCTCCCCCCGCCCCGCCTTCTCCCCCGCCGGATGGAGGCAGCAACACGGGCCTGTACATGGGCATAGGCATTGGCGTGGGCCTGGCGGTGCTGCTGCTGGCAGGCGCCGTGGCAGCGCTCGTGTATGTCTGGACGGTCAGGCGGAAAAAGAACGCTCAGTCACAGCCTGAGGGGAAGGTGGGCCGCGCGCAGCTGCTCGCGGCAATGTCATCTTTCAAAGGGAGTTCGAAGGGTTCTTCACGGTCCTCAACTAAGGAGGACGGATGATTAGAGTGCGGGTGGTCGTAGCTTAGGAGCAAGCAACGTTCCAAGGGGTCTCTCTCTGGTGGATCCGAAGGCTGAGTACTTGTTTGCATACCATTTGATAGGCTCAGTTAAGTATATCTACTCTATATCTGGGGCAAATTCTTACTGCAAGAGTGTACGTTATCTTATTCCTTCACAGATTCCTTGATCAGTTCTCTTGGCCTGAAACATCATCTAAGCTTAGCTGACGTCAACTCACCCACAAGCAATGCTGAACGTCAAATGTGGACGTCAAACTAGTCGCGCAACCCAACTTAGTGTTGTGGTAAAATCTTACTTAAAACTACAGGCTTAAAATAGGGGGCTTCAAGAGCGCCGTTCTTGAAAGTGGGCACACTTGAAAAAAACTGGGGTGCTAGTGCGACACTGCCATAAGAAGTTTGGGGCAGATGTGCAGATTTGAACCACAATATTACGCACCTACTTTGGGTTGGGCGATATGGAAACGCGTGCGACTAGGCGACGAAGCCATGCGCGACAGACCAAATTTCCCGCCAAAATGGCAAGACAGGAATTCGATAGTGTCCGGGGCATGTTTAGGTCGAATCGGATCCCGGGTCAAGTTACGCGAATGGGCAAGACTCTGACGAAACATGCATAGAGAGGGGGCTATTTGCGTCAGTATGCGTGAAGTGAGAACGGGGTTCTGATCAGGTTGATGCCAAAAGGGCTTGTGGAACCTCGACGCTCATTTGTAAAATATAAGTGGTGTGTAACTCATACCCTGGAAAACAATATGAATACTATATATATTTATCAATATTATAATGGACTAGTATGCAAAATGCATTTTACACCGTTGTGGCTTCCTTAGAGAGAAAGTCAACGATTTATTGCAAAATTATGCCATGAAAAAATATGACAAGCGCGTACAATATCACTGCCTTTGCCATTCGCAGAGCTTGAAATGGCAGCACGGGTAACATTCCCGGCACCAGTGGCAGCAGATAGTAGTGCAGCATTGGAGGCAGTGCTGGCATAGCCTCTGGCTTCAGCTGCCATTGCCAAGCCAGCCATTTGTGTCTCCGTGCCTGTCCTCCACTTCACTGCCCACTTGCACTCTCTGGCCGCTCCAGATACTACCCTCCCCATGCGCGCCCTGGTCCCCTTCCCCCCCTCCCGCTCTGATCCTGCACCTCTCCATTCTTCAGCCTGTGGCCCCACCCTAGAGTGCCCTTCTCTGCTTCTGAAATGCTGTCTGAAATCACTGCAGCTGCTGCCACAGTAGGGGCAGGAGGAACGCCAGGTGCCGTGGTTGCAGCAGCGGAGAAGGTCAGCTGTTGAGCCGAGTCCAGAGGGGAGAGAGACACAGGCGCTGGGGGGGGGGGGGGGGAAGCAGGGCGTGGAGAAGGGGAGCGGTGTGCAGGTTCAGGGGTGTATGGAGGGTGGGCGGGGGGAGGGGAGGCGGCAGGGGAGAGAGACGTGATGACAGGGGGAGGAGGGATAGCAGCAGCAGTGGTTACTGCAGGGAGAAGGGAAGGGGATTCCAGGCCGGTGGAGGGACGGCACGCTGCTGCCTGTTATTTTGGTGCTGTTGCTGGTGCTGTGTCTGCTGGATTTTCCTCACATGCCTCCCACTCGTTGCCGCTGAGAGAAGGGATCGCATGGCCAGTGTCGGGAAATCCCTCCTCCCTGGCCAGATAGAAGGGAGAATATGGGTGGGGCTTGGGATGGAGAGATGGGGTAATAGAATGGTGAGGGAAAGGGTGACGGCTGGAGAGGTGGAGGGGGAATTGAGAGGGGGTGGTAGGGAATCCAGAGACGGGGAAGGGGTCAGGTCGGGCAGATACCAAACCGTACCCCCTCTCCCTGCCCTCTATACCCCTTCTCCCTGCGGGTATCTCCCAACCTGCTTATTCCCCAGCCCCCCTCTCTCTCTTTCTGTTTTCCTATTCCCTTCATTCTTCCCCCCCTCTTCCCTTCATCCTTCCCCCCCTCTTCCCCTCATCCTTCCCCCCCTCTTCCCTTTATTCTTCCCCCCCTCTTCCCTTTGTTCTTCCCCACCTCTTCTCCTCATTCTTCCCCCCCTCTTCCCTTCATTCTTCCCCCCCTCTTCCCTTCACTCCGCCAACCATTTTCCATCTTTCCGCTAAACTCTTCCCTCCATTCCGCGTACCTATTTTCCCCATTCCGCCCCCGTTCCGCCCCCATTCCGCCTACCTCTTTCTCTCGTTCCGAGGTGAGTCATACAGTCGACGGTGTTGAGTGATACTTGACGTGAAGTGATAGACGATGAGAGGTAAGGAGTTGAGATAGGGGGCGGTCAGGGGAAAAACGCCAGGGCTATACAATGGACGTGGCGCCTTGGGGTTCCTCGCGCGACGGATGAGGATTGTAGGACGAGGCGTGGCGGACTAGACGCGACGTAATAGGCATACAGGACTAGGCGCAAGGGACTAGATGCGAGGGACTAGAGGCGAGGGACTAGAGGCGAGGGACCAAAGGTGAGGGAAGTGACGAGAGGGACTAGACGCGGAGGACTTGGCAACGTACCACATGAAGCAAACGGAAGATTGTGGTTTTTTTAGCAGATCGGGACTAGGGGATGTCGCGCTTGATCACGTGCGGCTAATGGCGGGATCTAAGGTATTTATCCCGCGCTACGACGATGGAATACTCGTCATGTCCGACAATCAAAACTCGTTTCCAAAGCTCAAGACGCCACCACTATACCTCTGATCGATTTTTTCCGCAGCAAAAACTTTATGGCAGTGCCTTGGGCAGTTACTGACTCGTTGTGTCTGCTGTACATTTTTAAATACCTCCCTGGTGTCAAGTGTGGCTGTCTAAGATACTCTAGGTATGGGAATAATCTACGTATGAAAACCAGTTGCACACCCATGGAGCTCTTGAACGACGAGGTGGGGGGGTGTGGTCGCATGGAGGACAGTTTCAGTTGACTCGTGCGACTCTAGGGTTCGTCGCACCCTGTTCAAACAAAATTGTGCCCTCGCAAGGAGTGCCGAGGTCCACTTGCAGTGTTTCACATTGTCGCAACACGTTTCTTTTCGCGTAGAGGGGAGATTAGTGTTCCACAACGGGCCGTTTATTCTGACCGCAAAAAATCACAGTTTTCAAGAGCGCCCAAGGTGTGCTATTTTAGCCTGTGGTTTTAAGCATTTCAGTAAGTAGTTTTTGATAGATATTGTCGAATTACACTGTAGTTAGCATCCGTAGAATGACGTCAGCAAATAGCGCTCGTCTGGATGATTACGTTGTCACAAGACTAGCTTAGCTAGGAAGCCATAAAATGGCATGAGGTTTAGCTAGGAGCTAGGAGGAGCCATGGAAATGGCGAGAGGTTTTAGGTGCTAGGAAAGTTGAGAGAAAAGAGGACTAGGAAAGAAGAGAGAAGGATACAAGGAGGGGTGTTGTACCCTCTACAGTAATATTCAGTAACATCTACCAAGCCTACACTTATATAATAACTTATATAATTTAACACACCCCCTAGGCTTGGTAGTAGAAGGACCCACACACCCCCACACCCCCTAACCTAGCACCCCCATTCCCATCAGCCATGACGACTCCAACAGGGCCAACCCCAAGGCCTTGGAGATGGCGACGGCGGCAGTCCCGGCAGCGGCGACAGCGATGGCGACGACGGGCGTGCGGCGGCAACAGGCTTGCGGCGATGACAGCGGCGACGGCTTCGGCTTACGACGGCGGTGACGGCAGCGGCCCCCGCCCTTCCGGCGGCGTGTCCAAACTCCGCACCAGGGGAACGACCGGCGAGAGTCAGACGGCGGCTGTGGCGAAGAGAAGGGGACATAGGACAGGGGGAAGGGGCGGGGCTTCGGATCTTCAGCGCGGCGCCATTGCTGGCGCGGCGCTTACTGGCGAGCGGGCGGGCTGCAAATCCAGCAGCGACGCAGGTGGTGCGCGACGGCAACAGGCCGACGACACAGCCACGACACCACGACGACGCCACCACAGCGTGGCGTCGGAGCAGCGGCTGCTCGTCAACGCTGGGACGACAGCATACAAAGGCCGCCGCGGCATCTTGGAAAAGGTGCCACGGCGACAGGCAGTAGGAAGGCCGCGACGGCGGCAAGGTAGAAACGAGTACGCGGCGGAAGCGTGGAGAGCAGGCCCGGGAAGGGCGTCCTGCTCTGAAACCATGTCACAAGACTAGCTTAGCTAGGAAGCAATAAAATGGCATGAGGTTTAGCTAGGAGCTAGGAGGAGCCATGGAAATGGCGAGAGGTTTTAGGTGCTAGGAAAGTTGAGGAGAGAAAATAGGACTAGGAAAGAAAAGAGAGGGATACAAGGAGGGGTGTTGTACCCTCTACAGTAATGTTCAGTAACATCTACCAAGCCTACACTTATATAATAACTTATATAATTTAACATACGTCAGCAGGCCATTTCAGTCACGCGAACAGTCGCGCTCTTTTCAGTAGCAGTTAGAGCGCATAGCGCAAATAGCCCGAACAGGTACATCACCGAATAGGTACTTCTAGCAGATATAAATGTAGCTTGTACAACTCCAATTATTAACTTGTTCTTCAGTAAATTCTGGTCAACACTTTACAAGTTCTAAGTTCTGGTTGTCTTACTAGTCTACCATGTCAAACATATATTGTTATGTTTGTATAGACTGTATAGCAGAGCTATCGTTATCAGGGTATTTTACCGTGATTCCCTGATTTTACAGGTTATTTTTTTTGCCAACCCTTAATTTTCAGGGCTGGGATTTTTTTTAACCCTAGCTCCTTCAGGGTTGCTAGTTTTTGAACACTTAGAATTTCAGGGTTTGCGTTGTGCCAATACTGAGTTTTCAGGGAGGATCGTGTACGAACCCTGAGTGCGACATCCATGTGGCTCACAACGCTGAAATTTAGGCAAAGCCCCCAATCTCCAGAGACATTCCCCCCCTATACACAACAGCGTACAAAAATTGGTGAAGTCCTCAAATATTCCCTCACACACCAAGCAACCCACAAAAAGCGGCTAAGTCATGTGTCGTACAGAAAACCCCCCTACACACCTAACAACCCACAAAAATAAGCTAAGTCTTGATAGGCAGTGACAGCAAAAAAAAAGAAGACACAGTCCTATTGTACACAAGTCCCCCCTCCTACACTCCCACAACCCATAAAAAAGGCTAACGGTCTAGTCATCAATATTGTA